AGAGCTCAATTCCAGCAAGTCAGCCAAGCCCTGCATGAGCCTGCTCCCATTGCAACGCTTTGGATGCTCTAAGAGTCCAACAAACTCAGATTAACCCCATGATGAAGATTGAAACAAACCAACTCACCCCCACAGACATCAAAGCACTTTCCTTGCTTCCCCAGTATGATCACACTGCTCGTTGAGGTGCTTAGCACAACATTTCCCTCACCCTCTGATTAAATAAATATCCTAACGGGTCTTGGAGAGAGATATGACACACCAGCTTGCATCCTTTATGGATCTGGCAGGCAGTTTAACAGAGTGCTAAGTGAAACACTAATCACTCAGGCAGACAAAACACTACTGCTATCCAAAATCGTGTTTTTCTCACTGTAGACACAAACCAGCTATATTAAACCTGTAAATATGATGTGATCAATGATGCTGTGGCTTCATGTCTGCTCCCTGCTCCTGCCTGTTGGGGCACCTGTGGGTGCAGCCTCCTCACCTTAGGCTTATTTGGTGTCTTCTGCTGCTGTCACCTGGCATGAGTCTGAATTCCCCACTTACCTGGATTTATAGCACTCACATGCACCCATACCTTTTATATAGTCAAACATAAACGTGCCAGGGTTTCTAAAGCTGGATCAGACTGTCCAAACAACTGCCTCGCAAAGATTTCTTCCCACCATTCCAGAAAATGAGAAATGCAGCAGATTAAGCTTGACAGCTTTTTCTTTCAAGTATGATTTCTCTATCTTGTCTTCCCCACAGGCTTCCAAGAAGCAATGCATAAATATGAATAATAAAAAAATCTCTAAACTATGCCAACAGAACAAAAGGAATATGGAGATGATAAACCATTGTACTTCAGAAGGAAAGCCAATGACTTCTGGCCAAGTTTTCAACAGGGCAACAAACAGAGCAATTTGTTTCAGAGCTTCAAAGGGGACATGAGCTCATCTCAAAAAGCTGGCCTGGAGGTGAGGGAGAAATCCCCTCTTCCCTTATGGGCACCCAACACCATCCACGAGCACATCTGGGACTTCCCATGGTTGAGGCAGGATGAAGCAGCAGATGGATCCACGTGAGCACAGGTGTGATTATTCCTGTTGGCAGCAGGGGTGGAAGGGCAGGATAGAGAGCTGAGCTGCCTTTCTCCAGAGGGCAAGGACACGGCAGCCCCAGGCAGCAGGAATCTGTCACCACCTTCAGGCACCGACCCAGGCACTCGATGGGACAAGAAGCTGAAAAGTGAAATCAAAGCAATCAGCAATTAGTGACTTTGCTAAACTTGGCCAGGATTACAGAGCTCGTTCTTTCCTGATCAGCCAGAGAAACAGCAGGACCACAAGTGGTAAACACAACTCTGTGGAAAGGGTACAAACAGCTACGAAAATACTGCAGCAGTTTTTTTGTTGTGTTTTTATTCCTTTCTCTTTCCATTATTTTCATCCTCATTTCTCAGAATCTTCTTCAGAATAGTTTTGATGTGAAGCAAGCATTGGCAGGAGCTCCTCTGTACTTTTTCATTCCCTTCATGTGGAAGAGCTGCTTGTACAAACTTCATTACACATTGGTGGAACAATCCCAGCCTTTGCGGACCAGAGAGAACCAGTGAAATCTTGACTCCATCAAAACTAATTGCAAAACACTTGTTGCTGAAATAAATCCTGGGCCTATACCAAAAGTTAAAATAAATTAAAATTATGGCAGGCAGAAATCTCATGTCTGGGGAACATCACATATCAGGAGAAAACCATCCAAGGGTACTACGAATATGAACATTACTGTCACGATCATTATAATGAGAGAGGGAGATTCTGATTTTCTGAAATCAGGCAAAGATATCTATCTGGTTAGCATACTCCTGACTGCAGTACGATATATTTCAACACTGTGGTTGCAAAATAATCTTTATTTTTTTTCCATGGGAGATTGCTCAAACCGCGATAATGCGTTTTTCCAAATTAAAGAGATAACTTTACAGACTGCTGGGTAATAAAATACGAATAAACACGGAAGACATACCTTATTAAAAAATTAGCTTGTCATTTTTCAGGCTCTTCTTTTGATTTGCAAGTTAATAAAAACCACAGCCAGTTGCCATAGGGAGGATAATTAATTATCCATCTATAAAATTAATGTGGGGGGGTGAGGAGGCTTTCATTTGAAATATTCATAGCACATATATTCAAGCAGTAGAAAGGGTGTTAGAATTCTCCCACACAGTCTGACAAGTAAACCTAAACAAGTGTAATTTGAGTGGGTTTTTGACTGAAGAACAGATCTGATGGTGCTAAAAGGTGGTCAAAAAATGACTCAATTTACCAGCTCTCCTGCTAAATGTAGCACATGTGTCTTCCTCTGGAAGGACAAAGAATTGCAGGGCTGGATTCAGACAATGAGCTCTGCAAGCTGCAATCCCTGTTCTCCACCAGGAGTTTGAATGGGGCCAGTGCCAAGTCTGCCTGCAGCGCATCCAGAACCATCTGAGAAAGCTCCTGCTGCTCACACGGACACCCCAGCATCAGCTGCACCCAGAAAACCCCCTGGGAGCTGACTCCAAACACGGCTGGGCGAGCACAAGGCTCCCAGAAATGGGTCTGGGCACCAAGTCAAGAAAATCTCCGAGGTGCATCCCAAAGATCAGCTGAAGAGAGGTCAGAGAGAGAGCTCAGTTCCCAGCCCAGTGTTGAGTTTCCCACCCAGGCAAACCAGGAAGCCAGAAAAAAAATTAATAAGAGGAGATAATGTCCCCAAATGCTGTGTGAATATTTTAAAACTGAATATTTATTCCAAAGTGAATTAAGGCAATTTTAACTTTGCATGAATGCTTCCCCCCAGAAGGTTTGAATAATCCACTAATGTAGTTACTTACTTAATTTGAACCATTTTCTCTGTATCCTTTTCAGAATGTTACCATGTCTTTAAATTTGCTCTAATGCTGCTTGTGAGGAAGAGGATAGCTGTGGGGCAGTTCTTGTGGCTGAATGTATTCCCACATCTCCTAAAAAACTGAATAAAAGACATATATACCTAGCTCATTATCTCATAGGACAGCAAAAATATGCTAAATAAGTAGCTTATTTCTGAATTCTTATTTGGACCAAATTTATGATGTTAAAATAATGAATATGAATATTCTTTATCTAGAATATAAAATTATTCAGATATTATTGTTACTAATTTTGTGTCACCATCACACAACCATCACACCAACCCTGGCCTGAAAGAGGTGGTGACCATTTCAAGGGGCAAGAGATGACAGGAATGTGCAGAAAGAGGAAGAAGTGAGGAAGTGGTGAGATCAAGATGAGGACGGTGGCATGCACTTTCCACAGACCCAATGATTATCATCAGGCAATGGGGTAAAAAGAATAGACTCCAAGACTGATAATGGCACTTCTTGAGGAGGGGGATGATGGTGGCTTTCCTCCAGGAGTGGAGGATTGCCTGAGAGAAAGGAGCAGAAATGTGTGATTGAAAATGTAATGAGCAGGTGATGAAGGGCAGCATTATGGGCTGATTGGAGGCAGGAACTTTGATCCTGTTTGATACAGACTGCAAGATAAGTGGGGAAGAGTCTGTGAAAGCTCTGGGAAATGAAGAAAAGCCATTTGGAGGATTAGAGAGGGAGGAATGAGCACATAGGTAGCACAGGCACTGTGATATATTCAGGTCCTATAGCTGAGCCACACGGCACCTGTCAAAGAGGAAAAATGATGTTGCTGAAATGAAATAAAAGCTACCACCTGGACATGAGTTTTATTTAAATCAGCAGATAGAACAGACTGCTGCCTCAAATATTACACAGGACCTAGACAAGAAGTGGATGTAAGACTTTCAAACCTGCAGGAATCTAAACACTGCCTGGATGGGAGACATCTGAAATGAGCAAAAGAACGATGGTGATGCTTCAACCATAAAGGCATTTGGGACTGCGAGTTCAGAAAACTTCAACAACCCTGATCTGATGTCTAGACATTCCCAAGGAGCTGTTGGAGGCCCATGTTTGAGTTTGGCAGGGAGGGCTGCAGAAGGCATTTGGAGGAGCTGTCACACAGAGACAGCAGCACCATCCTGTCCTCGCTTCCCTTGCGTGGCCACAGAGCTGCCTGTGCCCAGACTGAAGCAGCCTGAGCTGCTCTTCTCCCCATCATGTTTTCAAACTGTCAGGGCTTCACTTTGACAAACATTCCAGTGGGAATAGCATCACGGTGTCTCACAGGAAGAATAACTGCAATCATCTGTGAAGTGCCTTAGAAAAAAAATAAAATACAAAGCTCCACTGCACTGTTTGGGCTCCTTCTGGAGAGGACATCAACTGCAGTAAGAGTGTTATTAATTATGGCTCATAAAAGGAGGAGAACTACTCTGGATGATAAAATGTTTTTTTTTTTCCTGGGGTCTAATAATTTCACACTATTTTAAAAGTAAATAAAGGAGGCTGCCATTCTGAGAAAGAAGCCACAGTTTATTGCCCTAATTAAGCCTCTATTTATCACAAAACTCCTGGTTCACCCTCCCCTCAACACTAAAATTATGTTATAAATAAGGATCTGAAGATCCAAGTCCCACTTAACTCAGCAGTGATTCATTTTGCTAAGCTACTGTTACCTGAGGGTAGACATATTTTAAACCACACTGAAATAATTACTCGGTCCTTGTGGTGTTTCCTGAAGTTGAAAGCAAAACATAAAAGTTGACATTTGCTCTACAGCAGGACAGGTAAGAGCCCACCACTGTTCCTACAGGAGTCAGCTTCTTAAGTGAGAAATTCTCATTAATCAGGAGCTGCTTAGGCAGGTTAAGTGAAGCAGAAGAGAAAAATTCTGTGTTCCATCGCAGATTCAATGGGTGACAGTGTCCAGCCTAGAAAATACATTGCCCTGGGGATGTTTCCTGTGACAATCTCCATTTGTGCCTCTAAAAGGGCCTCTATTCATTTACCAAAAACATTTCTGAGCAATACCTCATCCCTGATTGTTAAGGTGGCATTTACAAAATGCCACAAGTCCTGGATGAAATGTGTCAGGATGACAGCTTCACAGATGCAAATCTCCTTTTCTGACCCTTAAGATTCACATAATCTGGAAAACAAAGATATTAAGATGATGAGGATTTGGAAGTTTAAGTACCTGATTTGCAAGCACAATTAGGTATTTACATTTCAGAATTTCGCAGAATTTCAGCCTGCAGACAGAGATAGGAGCAGAAAGAAAGGCCTTGTGAAGACAGATAACAGGAGGCTAAAATTTGTGCCACTATTTGGCAAGATTATCAGAATCCTCTGCCCAGAACAGCCCTCACATCAACATTTTCTCCTGCTACCTCTGAAATCCATGGCCAGCTACTTCTATCAATATTTTTCCCAGCTGACAGTTGCTAGATCCAGCTCAGGAAGAAATTCATCATTAATAACGTTGCCTGTGATTGCTCTTTAATTTTTTGTGCAATAGCTTTTCCCATTTTCCCAGATTCTTCCAGCAATGATGTGGCTGGAGATGCCCAGCCTGCAGTGACCAGGGCCCTACGATATGAACCTGCTCCCCTGAGAAATAAAAAGGTGAAAACAATGCAGTTCACATGGACAGCATCACAAACCACATTGCTCATCTGCTGCTCCTCTCACCACCATGAAAGATACTCCAAAGACACAGGGAAGGTTCATTATCAAGCACTGCATGGATGAAAAAACCCAGAAGCACACAGTTCATCAGCTTACACTGGGAGCAAATAGAGGTCTTCCAATATCTGCCTCAGCTACTCAATCAACAAAGGATTTGCTTTAAAAAAAAAAATTAATTTGCAGGACACTGTTATATTGTCCTGCAAGGACACAGTTTTGCTCTGCTGGATTATGGGGTGGCTGTCCTTGCTCACTCACCCCTCACAGCAATACACACTCACCTTCTCCTGGCAGTAACTCAGCAAGACAGGCCCATATTGAACTCTGGCTAAGCCAGACAGGAAGAAATGGAAACATTACACTGTGTTTTCTGAACAAATTAAAATTTCACTCCTGTTTCTCCGAAAGCCTGAACACCAACTACTCCATTCACTCTGCCCTGCATGGGTAATGGGTAATGGGTATGGGTAGATGGGAGCAGCAAATCACAGTATCCCTCAAATGGGATGGATGCTCAGCACTGCAGAGCTGAAGCATTTAATTCCCCATCCACAGACAGACAGATCCAACCCTTCCCACCTTCACCTCCTCAGCAGAAGGGACCAAAAGAGTCTCACACTGAACCATGGCTTACTCTCCTGACTCAAGAAACATGGAATGAACCATGCCATTGACTCACAAATATCTACAGGGACTTGCCAAGCAATGATTTGGCTGGGGTGTATCTAAAAATCTAAGTCCATAATTCAATATTTAACCTGGCCGAGGAACAGCTCAAAAATATTCCTCCCATGGAGGCCCAAAACATACATGCTGTTAAATCTAAAAATGGCATTCCCCTGGATTTTGTTTCATGACTGACAGATGCTGTTCATCCTTCCAGTTCTAGTAGCCAGAAAGGGTTATAAAAAGATGACTAAAAAAATATGAGAAATTGGCAGAATAAAGCCTGGTGAGAGTTACCAGTTTGTCTTGCATGGGTGAAGACATGGCTGAATTATTATAAACCTCTCTATTTTTGATATTTCTATATTACATTCTAAAGGCTTTCAATTTCAAACCATTTTTTAAGGTTTTTAATTATTATTATTATTACTATTAAAATAAATAGACCTGTAGTTGAGAAAATCCCTCTAAGAGTAATACCTCCAGCGTTCAATCAGATTTTAAGTTCTGTAATTGGCCAAATGAACATAAATCACATCTTTATTTCAGCATTGCACTCTCTGAGACAATAATTCATGCATGGGTTTAATCCTAAAATAATAGAGTTGTATGTGACCAAAACAGTGTAATTATGTATCAAAAAACACTATGGAGAAAAATGAGATTCCACAGTAAACATGGTTCCTACATACACCCACCCCACAGAAAATATCCATAAAAATAATAACAATTTTTTGTATAGGAAAAGATTACCTTGGATAAACTGGCTTTAAAAAAATCCTCAGTCCTCAAGACTTCCAGAAATCTTGCAGATTTTTTCTGAAAACTAAATACCCACTTCATTTCATGACAGGCACTAACAAGCTTGATTTCCTTCTTTATAAGTGTCATCAAACCCAGAAATATTGATTTCCAGTTTGGACAACCGGTGTCAGATACAGCACTGTACTTTCATGTAAAATTCATCACAGAAATCCTTGCAGCCTTCTCATTAAGGTCTGTATATATCTGCCTGCTAATAAGTGAAATTACTTATCTCCCTCAGAAATATAAATAGTTGTTGACTAAACATCAGCTTTTAGTAATCAAATGCAAATAATCTCTCCTCAATATGAAAATTGTTTCTGACGTGAAGTAATGTATGAATCAGGCTCCTCCAAATGAGCATTTTTGCACTCCAATTCAACATGGAGAGTTATGCTCGTGTGGTTTGCTGCACACACAGTAATTACACCTGCAGTAACTCTCCCATTGGGTCTGAAATCATCTTTTCTTTGAGGGTTTATGTCCACAACCACATGGAAAAGTCAGATGATCCCAGAGCTTTAGTTTTTTGATCACACATTTTGGGTGCCCCATCCCTGGAATTGTTCAAGGCCTCCCTGAATGGGGCTCTGAGCAGCCTGGGTTAGTGGAATGTGTCTCTGCTCATAGCAGGGGAGGTAGAACCAGATTATTTTTAATGCCCTCTCCAACCTATTTTTAGTTAGCTTAATAATTAATGAACCTACTTTAAAATTATGTTCCAAGGGTTTAAGCCAAAGAGGAGGGAATCAGAGAGGCAGAGTTAGCTTCTGGAGGAATTGCCAAGCCAAAAATGTAACTGTCTCTCTTGCCATCTGCTCTGAGAATGCAAAAAAAAGCAGCTCAAGCATGAAAAGAGCAACAAGAATTCCTTTCCAAGAGCAGCAAATAAGACACCCTCAAAGCACCCACACCCAGAAAAGCATCTGTGTAAACCCTTCATTCTTTGTGAATCTGCATTGCTTTCCACTCCATATTCTGGCTTTCATGTACTGCACTGACATCCCAGGCTCTCCCAGTGCATCGTCCTGCAATTTCAGGTATCTCCTTCAGAGCTGTGCATCCAGAGCATCTCAGCATGGATAAAAGGGACAGTGCATTATTTTAGTTCCTTTGGTGACTGGGCTCTTCTGTTTACTCAGACTTTTACCTTCCCATACAGAAGTGGTGAATATTTGACAGATATTTATGAATAATTTTAAGATCTTCAGATAAAAATTACAATACAGGTGCATGTTGTTATTTCTCATAATTAGAGCAAAGGGTTCCAAGAGTTTCTAGGGTCTAAAACAGCTGCTAATGACCTCTGGCAAACCACTCATATTTGCTGGTTTCCACACATACAACTTAACATGATCCAGAGTTTTAAGAGAGAGGTAGAAAGTGGAACCAATAAGTAACAAATATCTCAGTAAAATCTTCCTGAAAGTAGACAAGACATAAGGAAAACTAAGTTATTTGAGACCATGAAATAGCTGGGAAAATTGTGAGATGATTCAAAAAGAGATTTAAAACCTAGATATAATTCCTGACTGATAGATCATCATTTGTTTCATCATTGGAAAATTCCAGAAGGAAAGAGGCTCAGCATTCGTGAAGGAATGGGAACACCTCAGTTTGCTACAGAAAGCTGATGTGAAATGGTTCACACAGATGTGTTAGCAGATACAGGTTTGCATCAAGACAACATCTCTGAATGCATGATCTCACTGCTATAAAATGATCTTGCAATCGAGGGAGGGAGAGGGAACAGGGAGGAAGGATGACTGCAGATTATCTCATGGAGATGCTCAGAAATACTAATCAGGTTCAGCTGCCTCACCAACCACTCCGGTTTGCACAAGAGAGTTTGCTCAGTACATTAAAAAAACCCATATAACCAGAGGGGAATCAAATGAAGAGAAATTAAATTAGAACTGGAGCAAAGGGAGATGTGTCCAGCCACAAGAGAGTCCACCACACAAGACATTTTGCAGAGTCAAAGAGGCAAGTGGACTGTGTGAGACAGCAGGAGATAGGATCATGAAACCATCAGCAATTGTGTGCAGGTGCAGGATTAGGTAACCACCAGCAGTTGCACATAGCTGCAGGGAGAGGCTCTTTGTTCCCTAAATTACCTGTGGTACCCATTGTCTTTGGGATGAACTTGGCTAGAGACCCAGAGAATGCAGGAGATGCCATCTCAGCTAAATGAAGAGATCCTGTCTGTTTTCCAGTAGCTTGTGTATAAAACAAGTGGCTGCTATTCCATGGACTCACTCCTCTCAAGACTCTGATCAAACCCTAAAGCATTTCTGGAAGAGAAAAAAGAGATTTAAAAAGCATAGATAGTTCCAATAAAATCCCATGCCATCCAAAAATGTAGGTGCCCATTCCCTGCTGGTAGGCTGAGAGTCAATGAGGCAGCTGAGTTAAGGTTTAATGATAAAAACTCTCGTGAGTACCTGGACACAAGACACAGAGAAGATGGATTTTAAAAGGAGTTTCATTCAAGAAGGAACTGGAATTTATCTTGCAGTTTCTCCCCGAAAATGTTGTTTCTAATCATTATTGAATAACTCAAAGGCCAACAGTGAAATCTGTTTTGTGAGCTCAGAGTTGTTTGCCACAAGCTGAAGTTAAAACAATTTGTGACAGAAGCAGCATTGTTATATCAACAGCCTAACAGGGTTTTATTAACACATACACAACCTCATTACAGCCTGAATCAATCTCAGCTCAATCAGATATTGCATATTTTATAAGACAGACCATCACAGAGAGATCACCCAGACAGCCTGAGCAGAGCAAGCAATAGGGCAGGCTTACAGGACTGTCATGGGATTACTTTCAAAGAAATAACCCTAAAAGCTTGAGGGACTACTTCACACCCAAATCCCAGTGTGGAACACCATAAATTCCTTCTCTCAGCTCCATTTTCAACCTAACCTCATAAACCAAAGACAGCCAAAGAAGCAGTGCCACACATTCTCTCCCTGCATCACTCCACACTATTCCAGGATTCGGGCATGCAGATTTTTTTCCAATTACCATTAATACATTTATCGTTGCTAAATTTTGGCAGGGTTTGTCAGTTTGGGGTTTTCTTTTTGGTTTTGTTGTCTTGTTTCTTTTTTTTTAATTCTTATCTGGAACTTGTTGTCTTAATTACCACTTTAGCTACTGCCTGAGAGGGCCATCTGAATATGCAAGTTTCCAAAGCCAGCTCCCTGTTTTGCAGGTCACTCAGCCAAGTTTTGGCCACAAACCCAAGTCCCTGCATGGCTGGGTTATTCTCCCCTTTTCTGCTCCTCTCTCCAAGCACTTCCCAGATGAGAAGAGAAGCTTATCCAGGAGATCTTTCCATGAGGTCCCTCCACCCAGTTCTTCCCTCCAGCTAGGGCAAACTGCAGTCTGGTGCCAAAACCAGCAAGATGCAGCATGTGTGAAAGCACTGTTTATTTTCTAGGGGAATAACTGCAACCTGTCTCCTCATTTCCACCCTCCTAAAGGCTACAGACACCCCAAGCACCAACTCATGCATTTCCAACTGCACTGAACTCTGCTGAAGGAGCCCACAAGAGGGTTCTGGGGATGGATGTACACAAGGAGAGCTGGAGTCCACTGAAAATATCTGCAGGGAACTGAAAATTTTATTTTTGTAGTGAACTCTTTAGGAAATAACCATCTAGCACTCACTCATGGCTATGTCAAAAGACAGATGGCCCATACCAGAGCTGCAAAACATTTTCTCTGTGAACATTTATGCTGTAAAGCCTTGGCTGTTTATTGTAGAGGTTAATGAAGCTGTGAAGAGAACATGGTCTTGCTGAGATTATTGCTTCTGGGCAGCACAGAGCACCAGCCATTCTTAACCCAAACGAAAGGCATGACAAATAGACCAATTAAAAGTGTTTCCAAACAAGCTCTGAGACACAGGGCAGCTGTAACGTGACTATTTTTTCTAATCCCCCTATCCTACAAGCACTATCTAATTGCAGTGCCCAGTAGCCTCTGAATTCAGCACCCTCAAAAAGATTTGCAGTGCATTGCTCGTAAATCAACCCACTCACATGATCCAGGCTCATGGAGTAACAAAAAATCCCCATCAGAGCATATTTGCTGCTTTTTTATTTATTTCTCGCTTCAACAGCCAAAGATTATTTCTGAATGCTGTCTGGGAAAAGCACAAGTATTCAGAAAAGTGCTGCTTATCCAGTCCCCTTGGTAGCTCAATATTTTTCTTGAACCATCACAAAAGCTTTTTATCCTGCAGAGAGAGTCCACATGCATTCATGGCTGTTCACATATATACACACACTGCTTGGGAAACTCTCCCATAAATGTTTTCTCTGCTTTGACATAATATCATACAAATGTACATCATAAAATTCTCTCTGAGGGAGAAGTTTTGTTCTCAGGTATGTACTTTGCCTTAGTCTGTCTGGATGCAGAGAAAATCCATAAAAGAATGGGACCAGATACAACCTCTATTTATAACAATCATGGGTTTATGGTTAAACAAGCAGAGAAAAGAAAAAAGAAATAAAAGGTTTTCCTTCTTAATCTTCAGTAATCATTCATATCCCTTTACAGATTCTTACCTAGAGGAGTAGAACAGGCACCTTTAGGACTCAGCAGAATAGGGGCCTCTGCTAGGTGCAGAAATTGGAGCTATGCCTGAAACTACCTCATTCCCACCATCCAAGAATTACAGACTAAACTCACTAAATAGGTGTTGGTCAGTGAAAGGCAGGAAACTACATTCTCACCCTTGCAGTGGGTTCTACCTACTATTGGTGGACCATCAAGCACAATAAAATGCTTCCAACTCTTGGCTGGCTTTTTTTTTTCCTTAACTATTCATTGTTTTGCATCTATTTTGCAAGAATGGGCTGCTCCAGATCTCACTGGAGAAGTGGAGCAGTGTTGCAGATATCTTTTTATGAAAAATCCTTTCCTTAGGATTTTTCCTCCTGAGAAGCTGAGAGGCCTCAGGAACAAAATGCAAACAATGATTATCTGCTGCTGTGGAATGCAACAGGTGCATCTGTGATTGGTCTCATGGAGTTATTTCTAATTAATGGCCAACCACAGCCCAGCTGGCTCAGGCTCTCTGTCCAAGCCACAAGCCTTTGTTATCAATCCTTTCTATTCTATTCTTAGCTGCCCTTCTGATGAAACATTTTCTTCTATTCTTTTAGTATAGTTTTAATGTAATATATATCACAAAATAATAAATCAAGCCTTCTGAAACATGGAGTCAAATGCTCATCTCTTCCCTCATCCAAGAACCCCTGTGAACACCATCACAGAGCAGAGCTCAACATTCCTATTTTCAAAACAGATATTAGCACTAAAAGAGGAACAGACCAACTTCACGAGGAGTTCCTGATGCTGCATGACCACACCTGAAAATCTTCAGGAAGGACTTGAGCCCAGGAATAACAGGCTTCAAGTGAAATCTGTGCCCTGGAACTTGCCTCAGACTCCATCAGTGTCTTTGAATCCAAATCCTGGGACTTTTTCAGTGATCAGGATGTTCATCAGTGACATCAGTTCAGGATGTCACTGAGTCTATCACTGGGATGTGCCTCTGTTCTCCTCAGCTCCCCTGCTGCTCTATTTATCTGTGCTGCTGCCACTCATTCAGGTGCCAGTTTGCTGGAACACGACTGACACAAACTGCACAGTTACCATTTTCTTTAAAGAGTCTTTCTTGAGCTGTGCTTTACTTCAGCATTCCTCCAGAGTGGCCTCAAATGATTGTGCTTTGCCACAGACTGGGAGACACTGCTAGGGGAATATCAAGAATGTGGAATTTAAACACCTGGTCTCCCCAATTCACTGATTAACCAGTCACAGAAAAATAAAACTGGCATCTGAGCTGCACACTGCCGTTGCTTTATGATATGTTTAACCCAAAACTCTCATTCCATTAATAGAATAACAAAGATCATCATTTGAGGAAGCTCCAAAGACAAAAGCTTGCTGGCTCTAGGTGCTAATGGATATTATTTCAATGAGAAAATTCGATAGCTATGTAGAGAAAACTAAATAAATATACACAGCATTGTATTCATTTTACATGGAGATTTTTCAAGGAAAAAAGTACCTTTTCTGGAGAGCATGTTGTTTTAGAGGTAGATTTTTCCATGAAAATATATTCCCTCCCTCTTCCTGGCTCTTCTCCTCAGATTTTCTGGTTTTCTTTGCCCAAAGTTGTTGGCTCCTTTTCTCTGGCTTGGCCCTCTACGGGTTTCAAGATTATTCCAAGTTGTTTTTACACAGCCTTCTGGATCATGTTAGGAAAAGGTGCTTTAAAAACATGTTAAAATAATGTTATTTTTAAACAGAGTTCAGGACTGACAAAGGCACTGGGCTGACTGATGATCCAATTTGTTTCCATTAGGAATACATTACCAGTGGGCCAGTCAAAAAGCATGTAGAAAATGTTTATTGACATTTCCATGTAAATATCTGTCATTAGCTTTTCTTTAATACAACCAGGCTCCAAACCACGTGCAGTTTGTAGTTCCTTCTCATTGAAGCAGTCATTTACTGTGCACCTTGCAGGTGTGTGGAGGAGCACCAGGGCCAGAGCCAAGCAGGAGAGGCTGCCAAGGAGCCCATTCCATTCCTTGCTGCACCAGGGATGGGAGCAAACCTGAGGAAAAACCCTCAGAAGAGTCTCCACACACAGCTCTATGCTTTGCCCAAACTCATTTGGTGAGATTTCACTGAAACAGGAGCTGGATCATCTACAGGTCAAGTAAAGGATGAATTTGTGCCCTGCTGTCTCATGCTCAGGGGACAGCTTCACCTGCTTAGCCTCACATAGTTAAGCCATAATCAAATTTTGACAGGACAGGTTCAGGCATGAAGACACAGAGCAGGAGGAAATCCATCCACAAAGAGGGCAAATGCAAGCAAACAGAACAGCTCTCACCAGAGCAATGCCAAAGTGTCAACAGAATTCTGCCCAAACCATCCTTGGGTGCTCCTGAAAGCAAACTTGTTCTGCCATGGGTTTGGGCAGAGAGCAGCTCTCATGGCTCACAGCTGGGATGTGACTTCAGCTGGGTTCCAGAGACAAAAATGGCTCAACATTCCCTGAAAGCCAAGTCCCAGAAGGAGTTGGGCATGTTTCACCCACACACAATGGCCACAGCAGGACAACGCCTCTCTTGGCCATCAGCTCATCCCTGCAGCAGAGAGAAAAGCACAGAAAAGCACAGAAATCCCCTTCACACCCCTGGGTCGTTCAAGGGTGTGTTTGTTCCTGGTTTGACTCCTCTCCTTTCAGATTACACAA